CCTCCCACTTGTCACGGAAAATCTCCACAATACTGTCCTCCATGCCATGTGCGACATAGATTCCGTTGATCCCTGAGTTCCGTGAGCTAAGAGACACTTTTTGGGCAGAGTTTAGCTTGGGGAGTTTGGCTTGGGAGGGGAAAAGCATTTTGCACTTTCGCTGGTTCCCATCGTCGTGTTCAGTGCTTTGCGAGAGTTGACAAGTGCTCTCTACAAGCTTTGACTTCTACTTTTTTCATGGATTGAACAAGCATGTCCATTCGGTGCTCGACACGGCAATGCGAAGCAGCAAAAGTGCGAAATGCCATCCCTTTCAGGAGCGAGCCGCGCCACTTTCTGCGCCCTTCTCACCCATTTTTTCATTGCAGGTTCCCTATACATTCCGTGTGACACATGCTCACGACATAATACCACATCTGCCATTGGAGAACATGGAAGGCTATTACCATCATAAAACGGAGGTATCTGACAAGTTTCATTTCGAAGTGTTCATCTATATTATTCACCTTTTAGACCCTCAGATGAGCAGAGGCGCTACCGTACTTCTTATTGTTATTTTATTGTCAGGGCCTTCTTTGTGGATTAAACGGGAGTCACTCTTCTACAGTTGGATCCCTGTATGAGACATTGGGCACTTTCTGGCTTGAGGGAGGGAAGAGCATTTTAAGGATGGAATGAGCCCACTCGGCGGCTGCATTTTCCATAAGTAGTGGCCGGTCCACGTAGATAACAACCATTTGGATAAAACGTGGGTAGCGGGCTCACTCCACGCCTCCTGACCCCTTCCAGACAGGGTTTTGACGATATGAACTTACCCTGTGTTTCCGATAAGCGATAATCCGATCTGACCCCAATTCGGTAAAAACTGCATTGCACCATGAGGTTGCGATTCGACGACATCTCACCGCCATTATTTCAGGCGTTCTACAAAAAAGGAATGGAAGTCGGCGCTCACTACGACGTCTGCTACGACATGGGAGAAAGCACTTTCTGTTCAGATGGCCAGCTAATCGACACCTCTATGGACGACCATCGACGCTACTTCGAGATAGAAGTTCCTCACTACGGCAAGAACGGCTGCCAGTAATAAAGGAATGGGTGCTCTAGTGGTTCTTTGATCTGTGGATGGCACTGATGTAGCAATAATAATAAATATATGCTTGTGCCTTTTCTTCTGATGTGTGTTTTGAAAGCATGGGCGAGACCTGTGTCCACGGAAAAATGTGTGGAGACGGCAATGGTCTGGGCCAGCCTGGCTTCCATGCAAGCTTCACTTGAGAAAATGGTGCGAGAAAAAAGCGCGAGCCTGCGCTGAGACAATGATAAGTGACTTATCTTTATTTCGAACTTCCGTGAGCATTTTCATGCCACAAAGCATTCTACTATCAGTCGGGCAGAATCCTATCACCACGACACTTGAATTTCCTTAAAAAAACCAATATTTCCTGCAATCGCATGGCCATTTGTTCAGCTCGTGATACATGTGCAAATACCTGTTCTCTCTGGATTTTTTTGATTTTGCTACCATCTTGGCAGTTTCTGCAGCTCTCGTTAAGTCAATATTTTTACGTTTGCAAAGATTAATGAGCACCAATATTCACATCAAATGAGGTAGAGCAGCCATCTTGTAGAGATGGGTGAAAATGAGCCGTTTTTAGCGCTCACCTTATTTCGCTTGGGTGCAGTCACCTGCGAAGCAGTAGTAGGTCATCGGATTGGGTGTTAATGCTTGTAGTCAAGTTGTTTCCCAAAAGATCAGGCCCTCTGTCAAATAAGAAAACTGGGCATACCTCGCTAGGTGGGACCGTCGGGATATACGGCTCATCGTTCACTGTATTTTTGACTGTTTCCGAATCATCTACGTTTCTGGAGAGCCTATTCCACTTCGTCCCGCAAGAGGCCCATTTATCGACAACTTTATAGACGGGCGTACCATTCCTGCATGTTATTAAGTTGCGTAATGGTTTTCCCGCAACTTAATTCCCAACTGTAGACTAATTCAGGCACAATGCTTTAAGCGAGATCCGAATGACAAGGGCTTCTTACAGCTTTACTTCAATAAAGCTACTATTCTTTTTCTGACTACAGAATGCTGGTGCTGGTGGGTCTGCTTCTTCCCTTGGCGATGGCCATGCCATTCGACGTGGTATCCAACTCGGCCACTCAAATACTCTACGATGAGCAATTTTGCCTGCGTATCAAGAAATGCTCCCCTGCTCGGCGCTGCCGCCTTATTTCAACAATCCTTGCGCTCATGCCTTACAAATCTTGGCAAGGATATCAACGCGTTACCGTAGATTATTGCTGCTTTGCTTACAAATATTTCCGGAATATTTTCAATTTGCTTGTAGCATGAAACTCTCTATCGTTGTCTGTGATATCAACTATCAGTTGACCACAATGTAGCAGGATTCAGTGCAGTCAGCAACGATGACAAAGCCATCATCTTGTCTTTCAGGTACGTTTACCTTCCTAATTCTAAGAAAGAGAAAGGGGGCCTAGTCACTGTTCGGAGAGAATTCATGGACACTCCAATTTTGAGCAAGTGATGCTTATGGTCAATGTCTGTAATAAACTAAAGAATCTTATTTTTCAGAGGCCAAGACCCAGAAACACTCAAGACTTCTGCATTCGAAAGGCGATGACAACATGAGCCAGAAAAAACATGGTAGGTGTTCAGATGCTAGGATTAATTTGGCTGAATGGTATGTGTAACCTATCCAAAATGGCTGCTTCTAGACCCCGTGGGTTGCTGGAGGTGTGGTTTCAAAATATTTCAATGACGGGTTCATGAGAATCTGGAAAAATGGCATGAAGGACGATCTGGCCACATTGTCGAGCCAACACAGCGGATACGAGCTTTGGGTAACATCCTAGTCAAGTCTTCATTATCTGGGGAATGAATAAATTCTTGCTTCTTCCAGATCACTGGTCATTCTCTTGGAGGAGCCATGGCTTCGTTGGCCGCCTCTTACATCGCCCACAACAAGCTGTTTGCAGCTGACAAGGTCTTCTTCTGTGGATTTTTTAGCTTCCGGGACATATTGAAGTGAAAATATTCCAGATCAAATTGGTGACGTTCGGACAGCCTCGCACTGGAGATAAGGACTATGCCGCTGCGGTAGAGAAAGAAGTTTGTTTGAATGTTCCGTTTCTGGTTTTCATTTTCTACTAGGGAAAACTTGCCCTTGATCGTAGTAGTTTGTTAGATTGCGAGCGACAAATGGGACAATATTGGACTCATTCAGTCTATTACGCTCTGCATATCTGCTATTCAGTAGCTTTCCATTATTGTTTAATAGGGCCAAAAGTCTCTCTACTATTGCCTAAGTAGAACTTTGACGACGAAGAATGAGAATTACAGGGCAGTCTCTCGTCCTCTCTAATACAACTCGAAATCCGTCGAAGCGCCTCTCTGGAATATCAGTGCCTTTGTGATAAGGCACTGCATTGTTGAATTCTGATCACGATCGTGAACCATTTATGTTTCTGAGATATAAGAATCCGTCAGTGGATCCCACTCAATTGCTGGAGAGGGAAGAGGGTCGTATTCAGCGATAGAGAAATTCGATTCGTTGACTTTCCCGTTGCACGCTCGTTATGTACAGTCATGATCCCTGCAAGCGGTAGGGCGGTGACACGGCGTTAGCGCTATTTCAGCGCCAGGCGCCCTTTTCCACCAATGATGCCATCCTGAGCCCGCTACAAGTGGGAAGAAATCTGGTCTGGCTGCTCTACAGCCATGGCTCCGTCAGATGCCCTATCGGGGATCATGAGTGAATACTGTTAGAAGTACCACGTATACAGGTACTAATTCCGATAGTTGGAATCAGTGGTTGCTCAGTGACGAGCTCCATACTCTCACCCCCCCCCTTGCTTGACGGCAGTTCTTGAAGGAAGAATGGGAAATTGGGTTTTAGGGGCTCGTGCTGGGGCTCGTTCATTAGAGAGACTTGCAAAGAAATGCTGGGTACTGGTCTTCAGTAGGTCTTCATGGAGCTTGACGACAATACATAGTGGGCGAATACCTTCTCATCCCGAGAAGGGTGACAGTAAACGAGGGTTTGGCGGTGAGTACTGTGACGCATGTTGAGAAGTTGTCGCTTTGAAATATTCCGTAAATCTTTTCACCATGGGCGACATAAACTGTTCCACAAGCCATTTCGCCAACACTTTAGTGTGTTCGTTGCAGGTTCCATACGCCTTCCGAGTGACGCATTCCCACGACTCAGTTCCGCATCTACCGCTGGAGAACATGGAGGGCTACTACCATCATAAAACTGAGGTGATTGACACTTGATAGCCTCTTTTCTACGAGCGCTGTCTTTAGCTGGGAAAGCAGTTCTCGCTTTCTGTACATGGGCAGAAGCTGCGGTCTGATGCCACTTCCCCTTAATCAACCGTCATTTTAGGCGTTCTACAAAAAAGGAATGGCCGTAGGTGCTCACTATTACGTATGCTACGATATGGGAGAAAGCACCTTCTGTTCGGATGGCAATCTAGCCGACACCTCCATAAAAGACCACCTTCACTATTTCGAGAAAGACGTTTCTGAGTACGGAGTCAAGGGGTGCAA